AAAGGCTCTCACTTCTGTCTGGAACGTCCTCCCCCAACAGACCAGGCAAATGCCAGTTCCGTCATCCCAGTGGGACGTGAGAAGGATGAAGGCAGGACTTGCCGAGAGGGGAAGGCAGGTGTGTTGTCCCCAGATGGCCATGTGCTCTGAGTAAGATGCCAGGAGCACATGCTAAGGGGCTTCAGTGACGGTAAGAGAGTTATAACAACACCCAAGGTGACAAACAGACTGAGGAAGATGCCTGCTGAGGTGACCCTGAGACCCCCCACCTCTCAAGCGTGCCCAGCGCAGCTCAGTCTGACTGAGTTTAGATCCCCCCCTTTCCAATGCCCTGTAAAGGAGGGCCTGGGCCTTTGGTTTCTCCCGGCCCCCTCGCCCTGGCATTCCGCACCACCTCGGCTCCGGGTTCCTTGGACCACCTTGGCCGGTTTGGCTGAGGCCCAGACACCCCAAGCGGACGGTGGTCTCAGGATCATCCAGTTCATTAAACACTGAGCACCTTCCTGGGCCAGGCACTGTGTTAGGTGCCGGGGACAGGATCGACCCTCGTCAGAGGGAGGCCTTGGGCTGGAACAGGAAGGGGCCCATTCTTGGCTTCTTTCCCTTCCTAACTCGGTGGCAGGAGGAAGCCAGCTAAAGGGGGCCATGGCATTCCAATGATGAACATGGGCTCCAAACAGGAGTCCCACTGACCCGCATTCAAATCTCGGCCCCACCTACTGCCTGTGGGAGCTTTAGCAGGTGGTAGGTCTTCAGTTTCATCATCAATAAAAACAAACACGACATTTACTGTGCTGGAAGGTCCCTAAGGCTATGCTGAGCATTTGAAAACTGGTCACTATTGTGGACTCTATTCTAGCTGGGTGCCAGGATTGCTCAGATGGTGGGCATCCACCTTCTTCCTGCCCGTGGCTTCATGGCTGAGGCTTCCTTCCCAGCAGCAATGCCCAGGGTAAATCAGGCCAGCCAAAGTCGATACGTAGTTACACGTCTTATTAGCTAAGTCTGACTCAGGGCAGTGAGTGGGAGAAGCCACAGTCAGCTAGCAGTGCACGCATGCTCTCTTGAGCACCCAGCTCGGTTAACTGTTTTAGATAAACCACACTCTTCCTCTTTACGGTGTTCTTTGTGGTACAAGGCCCTTCCACACCTGCCCTAACTCTCTCCAAGACAGAGCAAACCAGATCTTGTGCAGCCCTGCCTCGAATTACTAGTTAATTTGTTTCTTGTGCTTTTTAATTGTAACGCTGTTTCCATCTGGCGAGAGGTCCTCAGCCTTGGCTGAACATAGAAGGACCCTGAGAGCTTTAAAAAACACCGAAGCCTGGTCTGCAATCCTGAAATCCTGACTTTGTGGGTCTGGAATAGGCTTGGTGGGGGGGTTTTTCAAAGCTCTCCAAGTGATTTCACTGTGCAGCCGGGGTTGAGAGCCCTTCTGGCAAGGAGTTTGGGGCTTGGCAACTCTGATGTCAACCTTAGTATCACCTGCTCCCTGTGTTGTACTTGTTTCTTTATTTTTTATTTACAATATGTTTTTATTTATTGTGTTTTTTATTAGAGAGAGAGGAAGGGGGAGAGAGAGAGAAACATCGATGGGAGAGAGATCCTCCTGCATGCCCCCCACTGGGGATCGAGCCCACAACCCGGCATGTGCCCTGACCTGGAATTGAATCAGCCCATGGGACAATGCTCAGTCCACTGAGCCACACCAGGGGGGGCCCCCGCCTTGTACTTGTGACTATTCTTGGTTCTGGCTTTTCCTCCCTCTCCTTTAATTTCAAACATCTGAATTTTTCATTGCAGTTATCATATATTTAATTCCGAAGAGCTATTTTTAATTCTCTGTTCCTCTTTTATACCAGCCAGCTCTTATTTCAAGGAGGTAACTGCTCTACTTATTTCTGGGGTTATAAAAAGTATATATATATATATATCTCTTAATAGAGTGTTTTAGAGTCTGCATTGTTTTTATTTTCCCCCAAATTCCTCGTTGCTGTTTTGTTTGTTTAGTCTGTTTTTAATGTTGGAAATCTTCAACTGTCTGTCCGGTGATCCTTCTGGTTATATTTAATGACAGGGCATTAAAACATGATGGAAGCGGCCACGTGTATGGGCAGATGGGCAGACTGGCTAGTAGATGATGGAACCACCTAAATTCTGTTTTTATAGGTCTTTTCTCTAGGGTCATTCTGTTTTTTCCAAAGAACGGAGGGAAGGGGACAGTCTTGGGCCAGGCCCCTACATATAGCCTTTCTGTCCCTTGTTTATTTAACTAGGTCCTTCCTCCTGGATCTCCTTAGCCCCAGACACCAGCCTTTCTCCCGTTTCCTCCCATTTCCTTGGCTCTATCTGCATCACTCTCCCTTTTTTTTCCTATTAAACGTATTTGTCCAATAGTTTGCGTTGGCCTCAGAGAGGCTGGGGTACGGTGGAAAGTCTTTGGATTCAGATGGATCCGGGTTTGAAAACCCACTGTGCGCCCTCTTTCCTGGAGCCACCGTTCCCGGCCCCACTCCCTCACTGTGAACCCGACCCAGGTCTGGCGCACTGGCTGGAACCCTGGGCTGCTGTGGCTTTGAATGCTCTGCTCTCCTCTATTGCATCTGAATGTAGGGGCTTTGCAGAAGACCCCCTGGAGACCGCAGGGTGGGACTGCATCCCAGTGCCTCTTGGCACCTTCCTGGTGCCTCTCCCCTAGCTCCATCCCCCTCTCCTCCCACCCCTTCCTGGGAACTTCAAACCCTTCTCCCCTTTCTCCCTCTGATGCCTTGCCAGCCCATATCAAAGCTTGGGGTCTCACCTTTTACCCCAAGAACTTCTTAATGTATTTTTTCACGTAAACACACTTTTATTTTTTTCTGCAAGAGGAACCCTGGTGGCAGGTGTTAAGACATATATGCTCTTGTACTTCAGCAGTTCTCACACCTGCCTGGAGGGCCTATTTAACACAGAGGGCGGGGCCCACGCTCAGAGTTTCAGCTCGTCTGGAGTGGACCTGAGACATGGCATGTCTAACGTGTTCCCGAGGGATGTGGATGCTACTGGTCTGAGACCACACTGAGAACCTTCGCCACACCTTATTACACTTCTAACGATCTTTCAGTCCTTTTACTATAACAGGCAAATTAATGCCAAGCACTCAGCACAGTGCCTGGTACTTGTATACTTTCAACATGTGTTGGTGATGATTGGAAGCTCGATCCGATGAGTCTCACTCCATGTCGCTGGGCTTGCCATGACACCCCTCCATCTGACTCCGCTGTCTTCTCTAAACAGTTCATCCAGACCGAGCGTCTGGAGACCAAATGGAGAGACCATCTAATCTAACCTCTTTGATTTGCAGGAGGAAACTGAGGCCCAGAGAGGTCACACAGCAAGTGAGAAGGTAACATCTCTATCTTGACTGTTCTTAAGCAATACATTTCTGGGAATAGGGCTGGGTAGAGTTTTCTCTTCCCTGCCTCTTCACCAACATTTCTAGAAATGTGTGAAAAACGAGACACGTGCTTGCATTCCAATATTATGTTGAGATTAGTAAGGCGTGGCTAGATAACACACACATTAAACATGGAGTGTGTGAGCTGGCAAGTACTTCAGACAAGGACTGAACACCACTGGGCTTGCCTTTTGCTTTCTTTTTTAAAATTTTTATTTAATTTTTTTTATCCTCACTTGAGGACATTTTTGCATTTATCTTCAGATAGGGTGGGAGGGAGAGAGGAAGGAAGAGAGAGAGAGAGAAACATCGATGTGAGAGAGACACATCGAGTGGTTGCCACCCACACGACCTCAACCGGGGCCAGGGACAAACTGCAACCAAGGTACGTGCCCTTAGCAGGAATCGAACCTGGGACTCTCTGTCCGCGGGCCGACGCTCTAACCACTGAGCCGAACCGGCCAGGGCGCCTGTTGCTTTCTGAAGGAATGCCCACGGCTCCTGAAATCGAAGATACCTGCTCTGGGTCTCCTGGCTTGGTTCATCCCGGGGCTGCACGGTGTCGCTTCTCCAGGGGCTGATTCACACTGCTTCCTGTCTCCGAGGTCCCGAGCAGCCTCCCTGCCCACCACTGCAGCAGTGTCCTCACCTGTCCCACTTCGGTCTCGGCAAACAAGGCTCGGACCTGACAACTCTGCATGTGGAGCAGTGAGAAGTGAAGGGGAGGATCCAGAGACGGTCAGGAGAGAGCATCTCCCCTCGGAGGTGTTCACGACTTGACTTCCTTTTCCCAGAGCGAGGTCCTCACCTCGCTGTCTCAGCCGGGTCCTGCTGAAAACATGTCCTTGGTTCTTAGGCTTTCTGCCTGTGCCCTGAGCTTGTTCTCGTCGCTCAGGTATTTCTGCCCCGGGTAGGAAGATGATTCATGCTGAGAAGCCTCAGAAGTTCTCTTTCCTATCTCTGCGATTTCCAGCACTGCCCGATGCATGCAGCTTCTGTCACCCACACACTTCCTCCCTCGGGGGCCAGGCCTCTCCCCACGGGGATGCTCTCATTAAAAGGAGCTGCTGCGGCCCCACAGACCTGCGGCCTTTCTCAGGGCCGGAGCGGGCGGGGGCGCGGAGGGCAAGGCCGTTGGCAGCACAGGCCCGGGCCCCGTGGTCTCCCGGCGGCCCCACCCTGGTAATGAGGGGCCAGGCACGGAGTTGATCCTTTGAAGTTGTGTCGGGAAACTCTCCCCTGGTGATCAATGACAGGAGCCCAGAGTCCTGTTTTAGCCAAATGACAAGCTTGGCCTCTTTTATGAGGAAAGGAACTCCTTATTGGAAACCAAATTACAAATTAATTAGCAGCTTCCTCTGAGGCTGAGTGTAAACATCAACACCACCCTCCAATGACTTTCTAGTGTGAGCCCCCTCACTCCAAGGGTATAAAAAGGCCTGAGCGGGATTCGGCCTGTAGGTGCTGGCCATCCAGGTAGCTGCAGCCGAGGAGAAAGGGCCTCCCCAGCATGACATCCAGCTGCTCACCCGCCTCCGTCAAGGGCTGCCCCCGGCCCTCCTCTGTGTGCTCCAGCGGCATGAGCTGCCGGCCCGAGCTGTGCCTGGGTTATGTCTGCCCGCCCATGACCTGTGTGCCTTCCGTCATGCCCAACACCTACCGGCCGGCCAGCTGCCTCTCCAAGACCTACTTATCCAGCTCCTGCCGACCCAGCAGCTGCCGGCCGACTGGCGGCATCTCCAGCTCCATGGGTACCTGCGGCTGGTTCTGCGAGGGCTCCTTCAATGGCAACGAGAAGGAGACCATGCAGTTCCTGAACGACCGTCTGGCCAACTACCTGGAGAAGGTGCGGCAGCTGGAGCAGGAGAATGCCAACCTGGAGAGCAAGATCCAAGAGGCCTGCCAGTCTCAAGTGCCCGTCATGTGTCCTGACTACCAGTCTTATTTCAGGGTCATCGAGGAACTGCAGCAGAAGGTGAGGGCAAGCGGTGAACAGTCTCACTGGGAGGCAACGGGAATGGCCGGCATTCTAGATTTGAATCTCACAATTTGCTAAGCTATGTTCAGGGAAAAGAGACTTCCCTAGGGCATAGAATTATCTCATAATTGGAACATTCAGCCAGAGCCCTTAATGTGGAAAGAGGCCTGGGATGCAGTCTTCATTGCATGACTTTGGGAGGTCCCTTTCCTTCCCTAGGTCTCAGTTTCCTCATCTGTAGAATGGGGATAATAATGGTCCTCACCTAATGGGGCTGCCAAGAGAATTCCATGGGTTGATGCAGGTAAAGTGCTTAGCACAGCTCCTGGAACATGGTGCGTTTTCAGTAAATGTTAGCGCTTATTAAGGACCTTTCTAACTGTCACATGAACGACTCCAGACTTCATAAGATTCTTTCCTTCCTTGTTGCTCATTGCATCCAAAATGCGGCATTTGGATTTTTGAAGACCCAAGTGCTTAAAAAATAAAAATCATGTCACCAAGGACGAGAAGTTCACTGAGTATTCCCCAGAGTTCCAGGGAAGAGGGGCTTCTGTAGGGATGGCTGCAAGGCCGTCGAGTCTGATCAGCTACCGTCTTCTCCTCACTTGGGTCCTTTACCCTTCCTATCCTGGACTGACCCCCGCTGTGCGCTTTGGCCTCCAGGTTCTGTGCACCAAGGCAGAGAATGCCAGGATGGTCGTGCAGATTGATAATGCCAAGCTGGCTGCCGATGACTTCAGGACCAAGTGAGTCTGGCCAGGGGATGGGGTGGGGTGGGGTGGCGGTGGGGGCTCTCTCCCTGCACCTGCTTGGGACAGCTTCCCTTTACTTTCATAGAGAGTTGGAAAAGCGTCTGTATTCAGTTTCTCCCCTCACTGTTGACCCTGCCCTTGTGCAGGTACGAGACGGAGCTGGCCCTGCGGCAGCTGGTGGAGGCTGACACCAACGGCCTGCGCAGGATCCTGGATGATCTGACCCTGTGCAAGGCCAACCTGGAGGCCCAGGTGGAGTCCCTGAAGGAGGAGCTGCTCTGTCTCAAGAAGAACCACGAGGAGGTGAGCCCTGAAGTCTGGCTAAGGTGGGGTTTTGGGTTGGTTAGACGTGGGTTGGAATTCCCAGGCCTGCCACACAGTGTTCCCGTGACCGCCCACTTTATTTAACATTTCTGAGCCTCCTTATCTGTAAAATGGGAACAATACTATCAGATAGGGTGGCTTGGAGAATTAAATGAGGTCTGGGGTTTGAAACACCGGTCCCTTGGTCCTCTCAGAAATGCTAGCATTTCCTGGACTCGTGTGACTGCCAAAGTTTTCCCCACGAGAGCCGAGAGCCAGGGCAGAGGGGCGCGCTGGAGCCACGTGGGCTGGGTTCCGGAACTCACACCTGTGCGTCTAGGCTGGACTGCTGGGGTGACCCCCGACTTCTAAGGGGGGACTGTGGTGGCTTCCTTCTTTTTCTGTCCCCATCCTCATCTCCCTTCCTCTCTTCTGTTTGCATATAATATACTTAATCCAGGGGCCCCAGGTCAACCCTTTATGTCCTCACCTCTCCTCCTCTCCTGCAGGTCCTTGGAGGGACCCCCCCCACCCCGGGCACCTGTGTGCTGCACCGCCCACCTGGGCTCTGGTGGTGTTTCCTCCTTCCCTGGCTTGACTCTCCACCTCTTGACTTGGCACTTGAAAGAACAAGTGTCTGAATCCTGGCTGGGTTTCCTTAGGCTTAGTAACAATCAGTCACCACATATTTGCCAAGTGCCCGAAGGTACCTGACTCATCTCACCTAATCAGAGAACTGGTCCCTGAAGGAGAAACCACTAATGAGGTGCTATCGCACACTCCAGAGCCTCGGTGACAACTTTCTCTCTTTGGCAGCCAAGCCCGTGGAGGCGCCAAACTTGACCTTGAACCAAGTGGAGCCAGGCTTCTGCTGCCCTTCCCAGATGAACACGGGCAGGGAAGGTGGCCGGGGACACGGGCAAGGCTTCCCCATCTTAGCTTAAATGGACGAAACGAATCCTAGACGCGGCTGCTCTGGATTTCTGCTGACGTGGCCGGAAGTGTTTAGCTGGAGTGCCTCTCCCAGCACGAGGTGTCCAGTTGGGGCTGGAAGACAGTCAGGATACTACAGAGCCGACTGCAGTCCTCAAAGGCCCCCTTTAACGTAGAGATCTCTAGGTCTTGTGCTCTGTCTTTTCACATCACCCGGGGAGATGAGGCCCAGAGTCTGCCACTTCACACTTGCCTGGGGCTCTCGTTCCTCTTCAGGAAGTCAGCGCCCTCCGATGCCAGCTGGGGGACCGCCTTAACATCGAGGTGGACGCTGCGCCCCCTGTGGACCTGAACAGGATGCTGGAAGAGATGCGATGTCAGTACGAGACCGTGGTGGAGACCAACCGCCGGGACGTGGAGCAGTGGTTCAACATGCAGGTGAGCCTCTGGCGGGGGACCGGCCTCCCCGGTGGCCCTGAGGAGGCACTCCGGCCTCTCCTGTCTCCCCCATTGCAGATGGAGGAGCTGAACCAGCAGGTGGCCACGAGCTCGGAGCAGCTGCAGACCTACCAGTCGGACATCATTGATCTGAGACGCACCGTCAACACGCTGGAGATCGAGCTGCAGGCCCAGCACAGCCTGGTGGGTGCACCGCGTGGGCCCCTCTTCCACAGCCCTGACTCCGGGTGGCGCCAAGCGTAGGTGCGGGACTCCCAGAAAGAGGACAGGGAGGAGGCCCGGATTCAGCCACCACGGAGGCCCGCCGACCTTTCTTGGAGGAAGGTTTCTCCCAAGACCCAGCTCAGAGATAAAACGGGCGCCCCAAGTCTGTCGTGGCCACTTAGGTGGCCACTGTCAAACATGACTCCCCAAGAATGCTTGTTCTCTGCTTAGCCTGCCCTTAAACCCATGCTTTCCCACCCACCTGTGGAGATTTAAAAGACCCCACACTCAGGTTCCTCCCCAGGAGAATGAAATCAGAGTCTTGGTGGGGCTTGGGCGGTTTTTCTTGTGTGTTTGTTTTTCTTATCCTCACCCAAGGTCATTTTTGAATTTATCTTCAGATAGAGTGGGAGCAGGGTGGGGGAAGGGGGGAGAGAGAGAGAAACATTGACGTGAGAGAGACACATCGAGGGGTCACCACCCACACGACCCCAACCAGGGCTGGGGACAAACTGCATCCGAGGCACGTGCCCTTAGCAGGAACTGAACCCGGGTCTCTCTGGACCACAGGCCGACGCTCTAACCGCTGAGCCAAACCGGCCAGGGCTTGGGTGTTTATTTAAAGGTGCCGATGTGACTGTAACAAGCAGCCAGGGTTAGAGACCACTGCTCTCCGTGATGCCAGAGGGAAGGAGCCTGGTGAAGCTCAGCTCCATAGCCCGAAGCCGGACTGAGGCTGGAGAAGGAATAAAGGATTTAGGATCTCACAGATCTGTGTTCACAGCCTGGTCTGTCACTTTCCAGCTGTTTAACCTTGAACAGGTCACTCGACCTCTTTGGGCTTTAGCTTCCAGTGATTTAGGTAGGGAGGGGTCATTCTCAATCGCAAAGAGAGACTTGGCTCTTTGTGAATCAGGCCATGGAAAATAGATCTGTTCCTCGGAGTTCTTTCGTCTTTTCCGTTTGCCTAGAGAGACTCGCTGGAGAACATGCTGACGGAGACGGAGGCCCGCTACAGCGCCCAGCTGGCTCAGATGCAGTGCATGATCGGCAACGTGGAGGCCCAGCTGGCCGAGATCCGGGCCGACCTGGAGCGGCAGAACCAGGAGTACAAGGTGCTGCTGGACGTGCGGGCCCGGCTGGAGTGCGAGATCAACACGTACCGGGGCCTGCTGGACAGCGAGGACTGCAAGTACGTGGGCGCAGCTGAGATTGTTCAGGGAGATGTGTGGGAGGGCTGGGGAAGCCATAGGAAGAAGCCGGATCTGCGAGAAGGTAGAACCCTAGCGTAATGAAGAAGCGATGAGGAAGCTGATAGGATCTGGAGAAAGGCAGGCAGGTATTCGTGCTGCCATCCCTGAACCTGGCCCACGGAAGATCATTGTGTTTCATCCCAAGTAAACTCCTTCCAAGGGCCTGGCGTGTGCCAGGCGCCAGGGGCAAAGCCGAGATGGTGAGGATAAAGCATCTCTCTCCAGTGGTTCCCATCTGCTTAGAGAGGCAGGCAGACCGGCGGCTGGAGATCGTGCTGGGAGGACTGTTTTCAGCACTCAGGAGGGAGGACAATGACTGGCTTCATGTGATGAGCTGGGGAGGAGAGCAGGACAGGAAGGGCCGGCGGGCGCCCATTCATGGACAACCATGGAGACCATGCTGGGGAGGCGGGGCTTTACTTTATAGGCAATTAGGGGCCTTGCTTTTTTTTTGAGGAGAAAAATGATGGAATTTGCTTAACTGCCAATCTTCCCCATCGACTGGTTGCTTCCTGTACCGGCCCCAACTGAGAATGAAACCTGCAACCTTTGGGTGTATGTGACAATGCTCCCACCAACTGAGCCATCTGGCCAGGGCTGGATTTCTTTTAAATGTTAAATTCTCTTGAATTTGCAATATTTTGAACAAATTTAAGAAAAAGCACAGCCCCAGCCAAATGAAACACATGCCCCGCTGGATGTGGTGCTGGGCTGCCGGTCTAGTCTCTGGGCCACTTGGTGTCCGTCCAACATCCAGTGTGTTGTTTCTGGTTTTGAGCCACACCTGTCAGTCTCTGAGATCATCCTTTTCCCTCTTGTCATGTGTTTCTTCTCTATTCATTGATTAATCCATCTTTTGTCAATACACTCTTATTAAGAGGCTGCTCTAGGCTAGGTGTGCAGGCGGGCATGTGTCCATGGCTGCTGACTTCACTGCCCAGTGGGGGAGAGGTCAGGATAAACAATCACAGACCCCTCTGGAAGGAGGTACATGGTACCTTGCGGGGTTTGACACAGGGAGATCCAGGGGCGCTTCAAGGAGGGTGTGACAGTTGAGTTGAAGGAAGCTGCTCTTCATCCTGAGTACAACTGGGAGCCACAGAAGGTCTTAGCCAGGGGAAGGCGATGATTAGATGTGTGTTTGTCAAAGATCACTCTGGCCACCAAGTTGAGGCTGGTTAGGGGGGACCAGCAGGGGGTTGGGAGACCCGTTAGGAGGCCACTGGGGTCACACAGGTGAAGACGATGCAGGCTGGGACCAGGGAAGTAAGTGGAGAAGGTGGGCAGTGGGTGACTTTGGGAGGCAGGGGCAGAACCAGCTGAACGTGTTGCCCACTCCAGCTTCTTTAATCCCTTCATGTGCCTTTCTTCCACAGGTTGCCCTGTAACCCATGCTCCACTCCCTCATGTCCCCCCTGTGTGCCCTCCCCAAATGTGCCCCACACGGTCTGTGTGCCCCACATGGTCTGTGTGCCTTGCATGCCCTGCCCCCCGGGCCGCTACTGAAGTCCCTCAGTGCTGGTGGATGGATCCTGGAGGGACCAGAGCTGGGCAGCTGGTGCCTCCCCAGGTCGCGCTTGACCTCAGTTCAGTGGCCACCGAGACGGCGGGGCCGGCGGGGCCAGCAAAGAAGGCTGAGCAGGGCCAGGTGGGCTGTCTGTCTGCAAGGTGCTCTGACACTGCGGGGGCGCCCTGGGCCCCATCTCTTATTTTCATGGGCGAATGGTCTTTGCTGATGTTTCCAGTTCTCTGCTGCCTCAAGAGCTTGTGTTCTTAGCCAAACTGCAAATAAAGCCTCATTCAGTGGCCCTGCAAACATCTCTTTCTCTCTTTGTCGTTGGCTGTGTCCACCAGCCAAGACCATTACTCAGTTGGCCTCAAGAGGCACGTGGCCGAATTCTGTTTGTTTTATGCCCTTCTTCTTGCATAGAAGCTTGAGAGGCTTTTGCCTAAAAGGCCCACATGCTGGAAACCAGTTAAAACCAGGCAATTGGTTCAGAGCCAGGTAATAAAATCATAAAAAGAGGAGGGAGATGATTATGCCAGAAATCTAGGCCTAACAACTGCAAATGAGGATATTACTATGATAACCCCACCCCTATCCCTCATTGCAGCTGGTACAATGGGATCATTCATTCATAATATTCTTACTGATTGCCAGGAGGTATAGGTTCTACCTCATGGGCTAGTTAACCCAGGTGACAGTCCCCTAGACACCTTGTTAATGCTCCAGTAATTCCTTGCAATAATCTATGAAAAAGGGACTATTATTCTCTCCACTTTACAAATGAGGAAAGAGAACCAGAGAGGTTAAGAAACTTGCTCAAGATCACACAGTAAGTGGTGGGCCCGGGACTCAAATATAAGCCTTCAGGCTCCAAGAAGCTCAAACAATTCACATTCTGAGTCCTCATTATTTGAAAACTACAGCTGGGTGCAAGAGAATACCAAAAATGTAAGGGAACCCACCATTAAAATGCTTCTAATTAGAGAGAAGCTAAGACCAGTGTTCAAGGAATTTCCCTCAATAAGGGCCTAATAGTAAAATAATCATAATAACCATTTCTGTCCCCTACTGAGCACGTGTGAAGCCCCTGGCATTGTGTTGAGCATATCACGTAAATGAACTTCTGCAGTTTCCACGAACACCTTGTAAGGTAGGAATTGTGCCCACCTTATAGATGGGAAACTGAGGTGCAGAGAATGGTTTCGTCAGGTGCCCAAAGTTACACGCAAAGATTTGGACCCAGATCTAGCTGCTTCCACTGTGGCGTTATACTAACCACTGTGCTATACTGTCAACTTCCAGAGTATACACACTGACAAAGACTGGGAGAAAGTACTGGCTTGGGGAGAGCAGAGGAGGCTTCATGTAGCTGGTGGCATTTGAGATTAACTTGGAAGGCTGAATAAGATGTCTAAGGAGCCAAAGAGGTGTGTGGGGGAGTCCCGCAGGAAAGTAGAAGTCATGCCTGGGGGGTCGTGAGTGGTCCTGCTGGTGGAGCAGTAGGTTCCTGGGAAAGGCTGGTGGAAATATAGCTGAAATGGTAAGAAGGTGTCATGGGGGGCCTTGGTTACCCCACAAGGAGCCTGGACTCGATCCTGGAGGTAGTGGGAGGGCTGCTACAGGACTTGAGCCCAAGGATGACTTGACCGGCGGGGTATTTTAGAAAGTTTCACAAAGGCGTGTGGACAGGATGGCTGAGAGGCAGGGAGAAAGCTGGGGAACTGTGTGGAGGAAGCTGAAGGGGCCTCAGCTAAGGCGAGGACAGTGGGAATGGCGAAATGGGGCCAATCTGGGGGACTCCGTGAAGGACCCAACTTGGCAATGGCAGCTGAGGAGGAGAAAGCCGGGAACAGGAATCTTGAACACCTTTTTGAACCTCACCCTCCAAATACATAATTCTTCCTTAATGAGCTGAGTGATGTTTCTACTAAGGATCTGTCCTTTGGACCTGCCAAGAAATTATGAGAAATGAATTGGATCCTGAAATTGCCTGGGGCAGTTCAGACATGATTCCACATGCCTGGCAGACAGGGTCATGAGCCTGACTGGAGACACAAACACGTTGCTTAGTGCCTGTGGTTTCTGTGTGTGTGTGTGTGTGTGTGTGTGTGTGTGTGTGTGTGTAAGTTTCAATGAGCTGGAATGCCATGGCGGGGGTGGAGGGGCTCCTGGCTAACGGGGTGTTCTAGTAACTGACTGCAAACCAGCAGCCCCTAATTTCAACCCGTGTGCAAAACTAGTCTAGAATGTGCTTAGCTTGATAAACACAGTAGACTAAACAGAACCAAATCTTTGGTTCTAGACTCCTAGGACCAGTCTGTCCAATATGGCAGCCACTAACTACATGGGGCTATTTAATTTGTAATGAAATAAAATGAAGCAAGATTGGACACTTGGGTTGCTCGGTGGCACCAGCCACAGCTCCAGTGTTCAAGGCCGGCGTGTGGCCGGCGGCGCACCGGGCTGTGCGGATGGGGAGGCTTTCCACCACTGTAGGGGTCTATTGCATGATGCTGTCCAAACTGTCAGAATCCAAAGGAGCCACGGATGGTCTGGCCCAGCCTCTCCATTTGCAGATGAGGAGTCCCAAGGCCCAGGCTGATGGAAAGATGTGCTCACAGACTCACAACCCACGGGGGGTGGGGGACTGGAGCCCGGTGTCCTGACGCCAGGCCTAGCGGTCTCTCCGAGCTTGTTAAGCTTTCTCCAAGCACCCTGGTTTATTATTCTTGCAGGCTGATACATATTTCCTCTTTCCCCCTCTTCCATGTCCCTAAGAGTAGAGACATCCTCGCTGAGATGCGGGCACTCTTTCCCGGGACTGTAATTCCCTTTTAAATACCAACTAGCAACCTCCAGACTCAGAAGCTCCTCATCCTCTGAGCATTTGGCTCAGGAAGAGCACAGATGTCAGGCCGTGGCCAGAGCTGCCGCAGGAACAATCACACCGGAGGTGCGGGTGGGGCGTCCCGGCCCCTGGACCCCATGTGGGCTTCTGCAGGCTCCTTTCTCCCCAGCACATGTTGTCCTGTCCAACCTGGCCCTTGTTCCCACACCTGGGTGTCACTCCGACTTGCCAAGACCTGTCTGACCATCCAAATGCCTGTTAAAACTTTTTATGTGAAACTAAAGCCCACAGCCCAGGGCCAGGAGTGCCGCCCCCTGCTGGGCAGGGGTGGCCATCTTCCGTGTGGGATGGTACTTCCGAGCTAGAGACGGCTCGAGCAACCCTCCTGCTAGCCCATCTCTCTTATTTGACAGATGAGGAAGCTGTGGCATAGACTTTGGAAAATATGTCCACCAGCACCAGGACCTCCGGGAAACCGGACCCAGGGCTACACACTTGGGGGATCCTCAAAGGAACTGTGTCTTCAGATCAAAGCATTTGGCTTTAATTAATGCCGGTTTATAGGAAAACGTGGGCAGGGCTACGGTAAAGTAATAAAACCTCTGGCATATTTGATGTTTGGGAGAAACTCCCACAGATAGCCGGATCCTCTCCAAGGGGGACTGGGAAAGAAAAGAACCTGGATTTCAAAGGCACAACTTTCCCCGAGGCCATTAAAGAGTCTGGGCCGCATGCCTGCCCCTCACTGTCCGAGAGTGAGTCCCCCTTCGGAGCCTGGAGAGGGGCCGCTGGGCAGCCTCCAGGAAGTCGGGGCAGGGGGACAGGTCCGGCAGCGAGGCAGAGTGACTGGGAGATGGTGCACTGTGGAGTGCAATGCACTGAATGAATCCCACCCACCACATTGGGAACACTTACAACATGACCAGAAAAGGATGTGCCAGGAGATAACTGGGAAAATCATCAACAATAAAACAATTCTCTTTCTGGGTTTCATGCATTTTAGCACATGAATACAACAATCTCAATTTTGCTAAACAGAAAGTTCCTACAATCATTTGATGACTTATCTTTTTGAACCATTGGTTGAGATACACTTATTTCCAAATAGTCCCCCCCCCACCCCCCCAGCCATAGTAACTAACCGAGCACACTGGCGAGCATCCTGCCTTAATGGGAACCATCAGTGCTGTTGGCTTCAGAAGACCCGGGCTGGAGCCCCAAGTCTACCTGCAAACACACTGTGTGATTTGGGCAGATCCCCTAACCTCTGTGGGTCTCAGTCTCCCCCCCTTTGGAAAAGAGGAGAATTCTCCCTCCCTCCCAGAGTCGTCAGGGTAGAATGCATCTGCAGTGCCCATCGCAATGCCAGTCTGTTGTAAGTGCTCCATGCGTGGTTGGTTAAGGAAAATCGGCTTTGGTGACAAGAACCTCGTCTTCTGATTCTCCCCAATGACTATGGTAGCTGAGTCGCTTTTCTGAGCTATTTGAAGCTCAAGTTTCAGAAATAACAGCTCTAGTAACAAACAACACAGGCAGCTCTGCTTTGCTCCAAGGTTACAGAACATCTGGCTAGACCTCTGGTCTTGGTCTAAATGCTTCGGTAAAGTGGAGGGTCTAGTCTGAGGCCCAGAGCCCAGGGCTGGAGTCTCCGGGTGCTGCCTTCTCTCTGGCTCCAGAGCCGGCTAAAGCTCTCCCCTCGTGCTCTGAGGGGTCCCGTTTTTAGGCCCCGTTCACTGTGCTGTGTAGAGTGGTGGTCAGCAAACCACGGCTCACAGGTCAAATGCGGCTGCTGCCTGTTTTGGCAAATGCAATTCTACTGGAACACAGCCACAGCCATCGCTCGCATGTTGTCGGTGCCACGAGAGCAGAGTTGAGCAGCTGTAGAGCAAAGAGACAGCCTGGCCTGCAAAGCTGAAAATATTTACCACTTGGCTTCGTACCAGAAAGGGTTTGATGCAGGGGAGAGAGGATGTGCTGGTCAGGAGCCCCAGGCCGCAGTCCTGGCCTTGTGGCTGACTTGCCCTCTGCCCGGAGGAGCTTTCAGGCCCCCCCTTTTCTTCAGCGGAAGCAAGAAGGGGTTGCATTAGCTCTTGGGGTTTAGTTCTAACACCTTAGCCTCCTTTCATTCTACGCCCAGTCTCTCTGGGGCTTCTGCCCTGAGACTAGAGGACCCCTTGCTCAGTGAGCTCTACTCTTCGAGAGGAC